AGATTTGCTCAATCAGAAGATAGTTTCTTATAAGGTGAAATTAAATTCACTTGGTCATGGCTCTTATGATACATTAATGAGTTGATTACAAATGCAGGATGCGACACCAGGTGAAATTATCAATGCAAAAGTGACCGATGTCCACCCGCGTGGCCTTCAGGTGTCTATCTGTGATAATGTAAAAGGTTTCATTCCTGTTGACCTAGCCTCTGATCGAGTTGTCGCCTTAGAGAAAACCTTTACCGTAGGTTAGTGACGCGTTAATGGTACTTATTGTGTTTTCTTAGTAAATTTGCACGTAGCAGTTTTTGTTTTTGACTAGTCACAGTACTATGGTGGTTAACGCAGTCTCTAAACTTTGCCAACGTTCTTAAATAGCACTATTTTTTCCAGGATCTTTTTTGAAATGTAAAGTATGGTTTGTGAACGACGAGAAGAAGCAAATTTGGTTAACTGCACGTCATTCGCTTGTAAATTACAAGGTATGTTTGGGTGTTGTGGCTCATTAGCAGTTTTGAAACATATTTTAAGAAGGAAATCACAAGAAATTTATATGAATTTTTTATTTGTAACTGTTCTTTGATTAGGGAGTCGCAATAACATCTTATGATCCTAAGTACGAAGGCGTCATCAGTGTGGGTGTTGTTGTGAAAATACTTTCTACGGGTGGAGCACTTATACAGTTTTTTGCAACCGTGCGCGGCCTTCTTAGAGCTGGTGAAGCGAAGAGATTGGGAAGTGAGCTAAAGTAAGCACTAACTATATGACTTCTGCATCTTTGTGAAATTCACTTATATCAATTAGGCTGGGACAAGTCGTTGAAGTACAAGTTATGGAAGTCGATCCCACAGAAAGGAGAATGAGTCTCGGCTTAGTCGAGGAATGTTCGCAAAGTACTGCCGGGCACGTATTGCACCCAAAGGTTGGGCTTTTTTCTTTTTTCAGCTGAACTAATATTAATGAAATCCAAATTTTCTTTCCAGAATGTGGATTTTGGAATGGATGACAATACAGTTTTTGCTGCTATTGTAGATGAAGTAAGCGAATCATCAGTTCCAGGACATAAATCTGAAAGAGTCATGGTGCATCTCGAGAGCGTAAGTTCATCAAATTTAGTGAGTCTATGTGAGTAGTGCTAATTGTGCTTATAGGATCCGTCGATTAAAGGATGCCTTCAACCCAATTTCATCTCTGATTCACTCAATTCACCGCTTGAATCAGGCAAAGGAGTCTTTCGAAGAGGAATGAAACTAAATTCCATTGCTGCTTTAGGAAATCTTGGTGGAATGAACAGGGTGTGAATATGTGAAAGCTGTCATTACCGGAATAATTTTTCTGAGTGGGGTTTTCGTTTAGTTCACATCAAAACGCTTTGTCTGTGCATGGCTACAAAATTCTCGAAACAACGTCCCGAAGTCATTTGATGATCTTAAGCAAGGCCAGGTTCGTTTCTAGAAAAGTCTTCTCTATCCACTGGGAAGAGCTGTTCATCCTGCTACTTTCAATGTGTTTTTTCTACTATTCAAAAAATTATTGGTCATCGGCTGATTCTAAGCTTCATATCCTAGTGCTGGCAAAGTGACTGTTTGCTTGCTGAAGTTTTTAGTAGCAAAAAATGTTCACAATTTCAATGTGTATCCTTCTTGTTGAGAAGTACCCTCTGCGTTTTCATACTTTCAAAAAGTCTTTTTGAAAATGCACAGCGGAAAATCTTGGTTTTTTTT